GATCTTGGTTCTCTTTCTACCTGATATATCCAAATAACTGCTTGCATATTATATATACCTGAATAAGAAACCGAGTCTCCATATACTCTGTAAAGCCCTCCAGCACAAGCATCTAAGCTACCGTTCAAAAGGTACGAAATAAATTCAGTATGTAAAAATGGATTTTCTTCTTCTCTATATATATAATACATATTTAAAGACGCGTTAATGTTGTTACAAAATATTTTGATAATTTCCAAATCAGATCCATGTATTTGAGATTCATTTATACGTTGCATATTTCGTAAGGATTCTTTATTTTCTATGATTGAATATGGATACAATGTAGCCATTCCCACATTAAACGGGCATCCCTTCAGATTGTTTGTTTCTTTAGCAGGAAATATCACAGATTTTTCCAATGTCCCATTGAGACAAGTGTTAATTTTAGTAAATTTCACTTTGACCTTATAGTCACAAGTATTTTCATCAATTTCTGGAATAATCGTCTGAAATTTATAAAGTGTATAATTCTGGGACTGGGAAATAAATGTGGCATCGTAATGTTGAAGTGTCCGTCCAAATTTTTCTAAATCTATATTACAATTTTCATCTTCATTGATAATAATTATTATGCATTTTAATTTCGTGTCGATAATTGTAACGTCTAACCGTTTAAAAATTTCACACTTATTGACGAAAATTACAACTAATATATTACTTCCTTCAAGTTTCTTCACTGTTTCATTTAGATGTTGCAAATTTTGTATGATAATCTGCGGCACGCATTCGTCTGAAAGAACTTTCATAAGGCTCCCCATATATTGTACATTTTTAGAAACGCTATATATTATATCGTATCCAATAAAGATAACTGTTGGATTTCTGTACTCTTCGGTGTTTACAACAGCGACTACACATTTTGCAAGTAATTCTATTTCTCTGATAGAATTAGACTCCAATGGCATAGCTTCTGAACTTGATGTTTGTGTAATAAATATATAAAAGAAAATGTAGAAAGTACGAGTAGCTTCTTTAAAAAGCGACATGTCGTGGTTACGCTTTTGAAAGTACCAACCACAGTAATTCTATTTTATAAATCAGATTGTTTCCTATTGTTTCCTACAAAGAGTTAGGGAACGTTCAGACCGGCCAAATAAATATTTGAACGTTAATAATTTTTGAAAACAGTTATCGTCCTGCACTCATTTAAACTTGACTTTGGAGTATTATTGTTACATGCAGCTGTCATCTGATGGTATGATATTAATACGCTATTGACGAATCTATAGTGTTGTCTATTAATTATGAACTTTTACCCGTGGAAGTAAACGGGGAGATCTTTCCCCATGCAAATTGTTCAGCCCAGGAAGAGGCCAAGGTTTCCTAGGGAGCTACCCTTTATGCGCCGGAGTAACTTCAAAAAATTCGATAGTGTGATTAAGGTCTCGATTTGTTTTGCTTGTGGTGCGACGAAAACGAAATTATTGTTTATTTTAATAATTATTATCTTCCTGTGTATTCTATTTCATTTTCATTTAGATTTTTATTTTTTAAAAAAGTACATAAAGCTATATTAAATATATACTAGATTAGGAAGGTGAGTGGAGAAAGAACTACTTTAAATAAAACAAAATAGCAAGATTTACTACAGAATAACTGCCAATTTAATTTCAGAGTACTAATAGTTTACACTGTTTTTGTACGTTTTACAATTATGGAATTAAATAATTTTTAGTATAATATCTGAATTCGATTCAAGTTGACAAAGCTTCGTGCAATTAAAGGGTAGAGAGGCCTAATTGCCCTGGTGGCGTCAGTGGCATAACATCTCACCCTCCAACTGTCAACGCTGCACTGTCGTCTAGACAGGTCTCGTGAGCTAAAACTAAACCCTAGTAAATTAAGTGGATCTACGTATCAATTTGCATAAAATTATAAGGCATAAAAGTACATAGCATACAATTGCTTATCCTAATTATATTTAGGCATAACTTTATTTACGTATAAAATACACATAATCTTTAAGCATAAATTCACTTTTCATAATAATGATGATGCATAACTGTCTAAAGCATTAAAGTATTTACGCATAATTATATTAAAACATAATTTTTATTAGGCATAAAAATACTCATAAAAATTAACTCCCTAAAATATTAGACACCAATACACATTTTTATACAATATTGCACTAATGAAATTCGCAGGCACTTTACATTGTAAGTAGAACTAATTATTTGTTTTATTTTTTAAATACTATAATATATTTTGGGTATTATAATACTTTTTGTGTACTATAAAAATACTGTATAGAATTAGTCGTCGGTATTATTAATTGTATAGAAGCTGATGCCACTCTGTATTATGTAAGGGTTCGTTCTCAGAGTATACTCAAATTGCATAAAAAGCGCATACGCAATCAAAAGTTATCGATCGACCAATGTGCGCGTGACATTAGATCATATCCCTTCAATTCCCATAAAATTCCCATGCAGTCACATACGTCTGTCAAATCCCGAGCGGTCGCATGCGACCGCATCCACCCACAACACTTTAAACTATTAAAACTTATATTTAGAGACTACTTTCCTATGAAGAAGTTTGGCATTATAGAATCTATACAAATTTTCTATCCTGTGGTCTAAACAAATCAATTACCTATGGATTTTTATTTTTAATCTAGCGTAAAATTCTGCCATTTTCGTATGGTCGGCATCGGCAAATGTCGTAAATTGACAGTAGAATAAAAATAAAAATACATAGAGTAACTGACTTTTGTTTAAACCACAGGATAGAAAATTTCGTATACTAGATTCTATAATGCCAAACTTCTTCATAGAAAAGTAGTCTCTAAACATAATGGGTGGGTACGGTCGGATCCGATCGCTTGAATTTTGACGAAACATCGCCTTGGTCGGATCCGACCGTGTCCCCATTGAAAGGATATATAGTTAAATGGTTTCGATCCCTGTAGTAAAATTAAGGTGAGTAATTAAACTAAAAATAAGTTGGTTTATTTAATTTATTTTTTATGTCAACTTCAATTTACATTTAAAATATAATTTTCCAAGCAGGCAACTCTTTTCGGGCGACAATTTTCTGTTTTCTGTCTAAAATAGTCTAAGCCATTGCCAATGTACATTAAACGTATTGAATATTGTTTAAGATCAGAGGGTGGGTTGCATAGTAATGTTGAAGACATAGAGAAAATATGTAGTTTCCTCGATCTCGATAGAAAAAATCTTCGATTGAAAAACAAAATTTTGTACCAAAATCTTTATGATTACTCAGTTGCAGACAAAAAGTCTACATCCACATAGAAACATAAACTTCCTTTAAAGACTGAAGCACGGTTTTTGCCACATACCTCCAACAACAACTTTATTGAATAAATTTACTTTCATTTGTATATAACACCGGCAAGAATAGTAATTATATATTATGTATATTGTTTATTTATTTATCTTTTGAAACTTACAACTACTATAACAGGAATGAACAAATGCGAAAGTGTAACTTTTTATGCTTAACAAAAATGTTACCTAACTATAATAAATTGCAAACAATCCTACCCTAGTGAATTCACTCACGGTGCAACAGAACAAGGGAATATCTTTAGCCATTCTATTAAGAGTTGGTAACCTTCAACGGGCACGCGGCACGGAACAGCAGCCGTCTGGAACACACAGTCCAATCCACCGAAACATGTCACTATTGTATATTTTTCTTCTAAGCATTTTAAAAATATATAAGGCAAATGGTAGGTCTCGTCTTACTCTCAACTCTTTATAGCCATACATATCCAGAATAAATAAAGTAAAGTATATTAATGAGTACATAGTGTACACCCCGTAATAGCGCATATACAGGTGGTCCGATAAGTAATGGATAACCCCGCAAGTACTAGTGGGGGGCACCTCGGCCAGTAATAAAAATAAATGTATATCTGCAGCAGTCTGAAAAAAAAATACTCTTTTTAATGTATGAAATTTTATACCTACCATTATTGAGTACTACGGCAAAAAATTATTAATAACTAATTGTTTTCTCTGGGAATAACCTTGAAGGTTTGGGCCCTGCCATCGCACATTTACAAATATTACTAACTGTATCTGTTTGTATTTAAATACTTAAAAGTAAAAATTGTGATTTTCTATATTACAATGACAAAACTTGAACATCTGTGACATAAAAAAGTAAAATGGCAGGGTGGCTAATAGCTTAAAAAACATGCCTACTTCATGCGGATTCTAAAACGGTAATAAACTATCAAATTCTGAGTTATTGCCATTTAAATGCCGGAAGGGTGATTTTTCACAAACTTTAATATAACCATATAATTGTGAAATCGTAATGCAGAATACAAATAGTTTAAGTCGCCGAGTGGCCGAGGCGTCCTCACAAGTAACCGCGGGGTTATCCATTACTTACCAGACAACCTGTATTAGAGTATCTGTTTGACTAAGTAATGTATTTTACATAAATAGCTCGTATTTGCTTATAACGCTCATATTCCTTACATTAATTTTGGTTCCGATAGAACGTTGAACAAAACATACGTATTTATATTTATTATTTATTATCAAGCAAGTCTCGACCTTATTGAAACCAACATATCTAATAAATTTATTTTGTACACGTTCTTTCGAGCGGCGACCATATTACGGCGTTACACTCCATTATTAGCATCACCGTGCGTACCGTAGGTACAAGCCGTGGCCGTGGCTCGGATGGTTAGTGCTCGCTGTACACAGTACGCGAGTAAACTGGATTCGATCCCCGGCACCAATTTATTTTACATTTACCTATGCTCGGCGCTGAAGGAAAACATCGTGAGGAAACTGCGATGAAAAAAATATCGAACTGTTCAACACGCATTGGGGTAGCGCGGCGGAAAATTCCTTGCCCTAAAACGTATATAGGCTGTAAGTTTAATTTTTAACTTAACTCCATTACATATTCTATAGGAGTAATAGAAGTATTAATGCCTAAGTTAAAATAAAATGTCTTAGGTGCTGATGGCGACGAACCGTCCCGACACGCTGGACCCGGCTGTAATGCGTCCCGGTCGTCTCGACCGCAAAGTGGAGTTCGGACTGCCCGACCTCAAGGGACGAGCGCACATCTTCCGCATTCACGCGCGTTCAATGAGCGTCGAGCGCGACATCCGCTTCGATGTGCTGTCCCAACTCCACGGGCGCGGAGATCAGGTACGATACGACACGACACGACGAACGTAGGCCTCACCAATAGATACGGAGATGTTTGCCATAGTTGCCACGCTTTACGGGCGGGTTGGCATAGTTGCCACGCTACGGGCGGGTTGCCATAGTTGCCACGCTACGGGCGAGTCGGCATCCGCAGTTTAAATATTTATTTGAGTTGTTATTAGGAAGACGCTGCTACCCATTTACTGGTTTGTGCCTCTTATGATGCCCACAGGTCAATATGGGGTAATGGATGTTCTTACACCGCCACTACACGGTATTTGTTTAATGAGCAGTATTTTAAGCAACCAAAGGGAGGGAAAAGGACTCAGAAGATAGTTTAATCGTTGGCGCGTCTGTTAGTGATTGTGTAACTTCTGAACAACTTGACCGATTGAGGTCATTACATAAAACATTTGTTTCGTCGAGACTTTGATGGTTTTTGTTGGTTCATAGCTGTGCCGCCATAATTTTTTTATTTTATTTTACTTTTTACAAGCCAGTGCTTGACCACAATCCCACCTGGTGGTAAGTGGTGATGCAGCCTTAGATGGTAAATCACACTGTCTTAGTGTAACAAATGTCTATTCCCTCTTGCCTTGAAGACGCCCAAATTGTATTCGGATGGAAAGATAGACGCCGGCAAATTATTCCACTCCTTTGCTGTGCGCATTAAAAAAGTCGAAGTAAACCGTTTGGTTCTAATGCGTGGAATATCGACAACAAAGGGGTGAAGACTCGCCGACCGCCTGGTCGTTCGATGGTGGAAAGGAGAGGGAGGAATTAAAGCGTGCAATTTCTGCGCACACTCCGAAATGCATCCTATAAAATACCGAGAGGCTGGCTACTCTGCGCCTGTGCTCGAGGCTGACAAGGTTGGTTTCAACCAAATCAAGGTCACTAATGAGCCTCTTTGCATGTCTCTGCACTGACTCCAACGCTGCCAGGTGGAATTTTGCAGCATTAGCCTATATGTAACAGCAGTAGGAGTACTCGGACCCGGACTTATGCTTTATATTATAAGGTAAGGAGCTGTCTCGGCGTGAAGTACCGCCGCACCCTTGCAAGAACACCAAGTTTCCTTGCGGCTGCTTTGGCTCTGGACTCAATGAACCGTCCATAGTTGAGGTTCGGAGAAAATTCAACCCTAAACTACTGAAGGCGGTCAGTGTACTCCTTTTAGCGGTGAAAAGACATGTGTTTTGGAGGCGTTGAATCTCACGAGATTAGAATCGCCCCATTCGGAGACTGCCCGTAGTGTGAGATTCACACGCTCAATCATAGCCTCTCTTTCGTACTGGATTGGATCCCGACTGGCCCGAGCACTTGGTTATCAAGTTATTAATTAATTCAATTTTTATAGATCAAAATTACTCATACTTACAATATTTGTTTTAAGTGCCAATAGGAAAATCGCAAAACCTGGACCCGATAGGTGGCGTTATTATCGAGTTATTAATAAGTTATATGTTCCCTATAAATATTCCAGAGTGAATTCGGAGTGACACTCATCACATCATCAGACAGAACAACGTCTGCCGGACAAGTTAATCCATTATATGATTTTTACACAGATCTGTGTGCACGGAGGCGGGCGTGTTCGCGATCCGCGCTCGACGCCATGTTGCTACGGAGAAAGATTTCTTGGAGGCCGTCAACAAAGTCATCAAGTCCTACGAGAAGTTCTCCGCCACGCCGCGCTGCATCGTCGTGTCCGTGTATTATAGGAAAAATTCGTTTTAACGCCGCGCCTTTTGAGATTTATTATATAGACATAAGCTATGATGTTTCTTATATTGGTTTCTGTTGATACTTATTCAATGCAAATACTTTAGGAAAACCAAATAACTTTGAACTCCAAGCTATATAATAATTATAAATTATACTTTAATTTATTTATTGTTACCTAGAATAAACTGAGTAGATTTCTCTCTTTTCTATAGAATCATAAAGAAAAACGTGATTTCTCCATACTTACCTATTCATTCAAAACATGATTTGTCAATTTGTCGATGATATTTAAAACTTATTTGTAAAATGAAATATGTCTAAGATACTACCAGAAAGAGATCAGAAAGTCATAATTAGTTTTTTAATTTATTAATATAAAGTTTTTCTCTGATTCCCAACAATCTGATCTGAGTGACAAATCACGTTTTGAATTTTAGCTCCTCACATTTATCGAACGGCTTAACATTTGTAAAAATGCTATCTAAGTATACATGTTGCACAAGATTCATCAGTACGCTTTAACTCCAAAAATAAATTAAAAAGATCATAAGATTTAAACAATGATCTAAATTTAATATTGGTGGAGGAATCTTCTAGGTGATTGATATTAAAGTCTCCCTTTGAGTAATAATCAAAGAACTCTCTCCACATATTACAACAGATTTATTCTGTTTATTAAGCTTAGCGAAAAGTACCTCCATATTTTTTTTTCAAAAGTATCGTATATAGAACATGGGGGTCTGTAAATGCTCACAACAATGAGGTGCTCAAACTCAACACATGCCATTTCTACAGTTCGCTCAACAGAGAGTCTCACAATATCTTACGTTCTTTACATGATAATAATTTACTAGCTAAAATTAAGGAGCCACCTCTTAAAACCGTTTCTCTATTGAAAGAACTGAACACCTGGTGATTACTGATTATTGAGTTACAAGCTTTTAATTTTAACCAATGTTAAATTATTTTAATAATTTGTTAATAAATATATAAAATATGAATATTGTTATAACAGGATCTTCTCGTCAATCCTCAGTGTGTGCGTTCTATGTTACCAGTTCGACTCGTCTTAGGTGGCAACCGAACCTCCTCCGGAGCTTCTTAGCACTCCCTGCCCCGCTGTTACCATGGTCGACACCGTAGCCAGGAGTAGCGTTGCTGCTGGGAACTGGGGGTCGTCTCTTCGTAACTCTCATCATAAGGGGTATGTGTCCATACACGCTTGCCGAGCGGGTAGGCAACCGCAGTTTTATTTGTTGTACAATTGCTGCTATCAGGAAGAACAGCTGCCCATCTCCTGCCTGTTTTCTTTCTGTCGCCCTTTACGACACCCTCGGGAAAATATGGGGTAGTTGATATTCTTAACTTCCCCTACACGGCACGGTTGTTTTGTGTAATAACTAATAATATAATACTCTAGAAACTGATAAACTTTTATTTAAAACTAACCTCTCAATTAAATTTAATTCGCACATCGCACGATTTTTTCATCGTGGACCTATATCGTTACGACCTACGTGTACTATTATTTATTCTGTGCCTACGTTCCGGTCTATCGCTGTAATGATCAGAGTGAATACATAATTTCTATAAAAACTTAAAAACAGCCGTCATAAGGTTTAAAATTTTGCGACGATTAAGACCGTTAAGAAATTGTCAGAATCTTAAATTATTTAAAAAAAAATTATTGATTTAAGTAATCAAAATAATGAGCCATAATGTAGTAAGTAAATTACTAACTCGTAATGAGAGTAAGTAAATTACGAATATTTAAGTGATTCCCAAACATATAGACTAGATTAAGTAATTTCGTTGTAATTTAAACCATAGTGATTTTTAGAGGTGTTTTCGAAAATAAATATGAAAGAGTCAAAATTAATTAATCAATATCAAAATTCCAGTTTCGATAGTGGTGCCATAGTCCTATACTATTCGATGAAAGGTTTTCGAGGTGTCGCCTTGATCGTACAATCTATAGCCTATTAAGACAGCGCCTTAGAAATCGATCAGTTACCGATTTAGTACATTGTTAAATATGAAACTACAATTTAAAATTTTTAAGATTTTAATAATTTTTTAGAAAAACTTTTCAGATTTAACTACAGTTCCTCTGTAAAAGTAAAATGAAATAGGTGTATGTGTAAGTCAAAAAAATGTACATGTAATAGTGTACATAGGTACGAAGTGAAATTTCTTTACGATATATCTATATTTTACATAAGTAGGTTATATAATAGTATACTCGTACACATGCAGCCCCAGCGGTGAAACAACAGTTTACAAAAAGTTGTGTCCAGAGTGGGGAACGAACCCAAACCACTGCATGCACTGCAAAGTGATCTGATGAATATTTTCGTAATGGTCTACTGTTATCGATAAATTCATAGAATACTATAATACACAATAGAATGGCTGTCAACCTTATTTTGAACGAGAATCGGCGTCGCCGGGAGCACACATACAAGCAATTACGTCGTATTATCAGTTAATCACTAGTACAAACACGAATCGCTGTGTTGACAGACGAGTTTTAATACATATTTATTTGTAAATAGCGTGCAACTTGTCATTTTCTAAATAATTTGCATGCGAAATTTGAAAACGATTGTAAAGTCAAAACACATCTCATGTAATTTATACGTGTGAATTGACGTATTAGTGGCATTTTAGTGGCTACCCCCCCCCCCCTTTATTATGTATTATAGTATTCTATGGATAAATTTTATGGGATATTTAATAAGATGTCATACAGAAAAAATGAAATTTCATTTATAAAAAAGAAAAAGAAATAGTTTTTTGTATATTAAAAGAAAAACCCAGAAAATTTTTCGCGGATTAAAAAAGTTATTTCCCGAGTGGGAATCGAACCTACAACACCCGATACATTGTCATAATTATATTACTTGACGAGACTGCTGCTTTCCGTGCTGATTATTATGACGAGATATAAAATGCAAAATATAATAATATTACTTGTTAATTTAGATTGTAATTGTATTTTTTTAATCATTTGTGTGAAGTATATTTGGAAAAGGATATTTCATTAAATTGGGAATTCAGAAACAAGATTTTTTATTAAGTCCTTTGTTAGAGAATACTGAAACCGGTTGGCTGACCCCGTACAATCAGGGTGCTTTTTATCAATTATGCAGATCAATGGATGGGATTTCCCTTTTGTGAGTTATTTTACATTCGTTGAACCTGATATCAACAAAAATTTACTAAAGCGTTATGTATAATGTACTTTCAATTTCTGTCATCAGTAGTAGAGTTGACCATCTTGAACAACCCGAATAATACTGGGAGTACTATACGGCCGACGTATCTTGGCGAGTCTGAATATAGGCTCTGCGAAGTTTAGCGCATGAACACTCGTGAAGAAAACTGTTATTGTCATTTTTTTATATATACCAATGTACAAATAAAATTTCCCTAATACAGTGACCAAAAATATCAAAACACTTTGGAGACATTATAAATTAAAGATTCAATTTTGATACCTCACCTTTCGATAGGGGCAGATTTTATCACAAACACATACAATATTATTTACATTTAATACTTTTTATTTATTTACACTTATTATTATTTAATCACTGTCGCTGAGGGGGGAAATTCCTAACATAAAGTCGTCGGCCCCTTGTGTACCATGTGAGGTACTTGGCATAGGTTCATCTTCGTAATCGTCGCTCTCACTTTCAGACTCACTTTCTGAATCTGAAGCTGTATTAATGATGAATAATTGATCCGTCATTTCGTCAATAATATGGTCGCTCTTCCTATAGTCATGTTCGACCTCTTGCACTTTTCTGCATAAAGCACTCCATTCATTCTGACCCATTAAATTTACTTTTTCTTGTATGAGCTCCATTGTCCGGGTTACGTTCCAGTCGACGTTTTTAGCGGCTACGTGCCCTTTAATGGCAGCCCACACCATCTCGATGGGGTTTAAATCGGGATGATATGGGGGTAAACGAAGGACATCGTGGTTGTTTTGTTTAAACATTTCATCTATTACGTATTTTTTATTCACGTCTTTGTTTTTTTTTATTAGATCGTAAAGTTGTGGTTTACGCATGTCCTTTTCATATGGTATACCCTTTTCTAATAACCACGATTCCATTTTTGCCTTCTTGTCATTAGATGTAGGGGCAGGATCCATTAATTTGTTGTGGTACGGAGCATTATCGATAACCACCACCGAGTTAGGGCTCAAATTTGGAATCAGTTGGGTCCGTAACCATTTCTCATAATTTTTGAAATTCATGTCATCATGATAGTCTCCGGTTTTGCTGCCAGATTTGAACATTAGTAGCGCGTTCGGAACAAACCCTGCTTCTGACCCAGCGTGTACCATCACTATCCGCTGACCTTTTGATATCGGGCGCTTTAGTCCTTGAGCGGAACCATCTGACCACGCCTTACCTTTTGTGTGTGATGAGTGGGCATACGACTCGTCAGTGAATACAATTGGTCGCCCTTCGTCCCTGTATTTTTTCATTGCCTTCAAGTACAAGATCCTTTTCAGGCGAATGTCGGTCTTCTCTATAAGAACCATTCTATTGGTTTCGGTCTTTCGCCACTTGAAACCCAAGTTTTTGATAATTGTCTTTAAGCTCGTTTTACCACCTTGAAAATTTATATCCCGTTTGAGTTTCGCTAGTAATTTGTTTATCGTCGGCATTTCTTTTTCAGTTTTGTGGAAGTTGTGTATGCATCTTTTTTACTACTCCCTGGTCAAAATTATCCATATCAGTAATAGGTTTTGATCTAGACCTTTTTTTACCAGGCGTGCGGAATACTGAAAGTAAGCCCGAAATATTGCCTTCAGTTGCGATCCGCTGTACTGTGCGTTGGGACACACCAGTTGCGTTAGCAACTCTTAAATAAACTTTATCGACATCTTTTACGCCTTCTTCTTTTTCTTTTTTCATATATTGCGTTAAATCGTAAATAATTTTTCTCGCCTGGCGATTTAACACACTGTTATGTTTTG